GCGCATGTGCAACAAGCTTTTACATCCCACAAGCAATGAAGCAAATGTTTTAGCTTAAATACGCTGATTCCAAGTAGGGCATGTTTGTCCATTTTTAAATGGGAGCGAAACCATGCTATTACAAACTAATAGCATGGCTTTTCGGGAGATTAGTGATTAAATGACCCCTTACCCTCGGCAGGTTTGCGGAATTCCCTCGGGCTTCGCCCTCGGGAATTCCGCAAACCTGCCTCGGGTTACGGGGCCATTTAATCACTAATCTCCCTCAAGCCATGCTATTACTTATAATAAACTGGCTAGTCATATACAAACTTAGAAACCGAAATATGCAATGAATCAATTCAGTATTTTATATAGGCTGAATTCTGTCGAGAATTCTGTAGTCTTCAATTAGTACTTATAAATCTATTATCTACACCCGCAGTAATGTACACTGTAACTTTATAACTTTGTCTTGAGGTCTTTGTCCAGTATATTACCCGTGTTACAGTAACATCTGCAAACGCTTGTAAAGTAATCAAAACATCGCGAAATATTTTATGAGATATTGTTCGATTTTAGTACACTGCCGTCTGTTCAAAACAATAGCTCGACAAATTCTAACAGATTTTACAATTGTTCCATATTGTAAATTTGTAGACTGGTTTATGTATAACAAATATGTCTCTCAGCTCTCGCATATAATCGGTTTAAGATATGAATATACGTACAAATGAAGATATGAAATGTTCAAGATTAAATGTTTTGAAACTTTTGACGACCCAAGCCTCAAGGTCAAAGGCATAGTCAAAGGTCAAGCCCCACAATTTTCGTGGGTAAAGCTGTGATTGGCTAATTTTGAGGAAAGGAATTCTTGGCCAAAGTAAGCATACCTTACGTGGGGGCTCAGCCACTGAGCTATACTTATATATCTGGAGATCGTGCTCTCGACGAAAGTGTGTGGCCAAAAACATGGCGGATTTGACGTCACAATCGACCTATTTTCATGGGGGTTTCCACTGACCCGTGGCTCGAATGTTCGTGGGCGACAAAGTTCAACCCCCCCTGGATTTTACAGTGATTTTGTATGTTTATATTAGTTGGTCGACAGAGAGTATATTTTTGATTTTCGTCCTTTTGAAAATACAGTATTATTCTAACTGCGCGTATAAATCAATAAAGACCGAAAGCCATTAATAAAAAAAGACATGAATGGAGCTTGACGGCCACAAGAACAAAGCATGTAAGTCATTGAAATGATTTATCAATTCTTGTTGTATTGTGAATTTGTGTTGCAACCATTGGTTGCAACTGAACTGACTATCAAGATTATTCTTTAAAACACGAGTATTATAACAATCCCCAGCAAGTAAAATTAAGCAAATATAGCTTGTTGAAAACCGTACTGCTATAAATTTCCCTGAGTGACAAAAGTTTTTTTAGAGATTTTAATACCAGTTTATTCTACTATTAGTAAATTGTGGGGAAAAGCAACTCTTTGGAATATAAAGCACTTATATCACCATTAAAGTTTTTTACACCTGTATGTATTCCGCTTTCAGGTATGAATTTATCAAGAAAATATGGGATATCTGTACTAAGTACCAGATGGCAATGAAGAAAGTCAAGTGTATTTCTTTATAATGGTCTTCCTTGTAAAAGGCAATGGCACTATTTCATTGAACATTCAAGGAACAATCACCTTTTAAAACAAATATGCACATTTCTATGCTCGAGTTACAATGTTTGATTTTGATATCTGCATTTTATGTGATTCATACCTTATTTGTAAGTGTTCCTCAAATATTGATTCAATACATTACCTCGGGCTGACCAATTCATTCCATCAAGATATTTGCTGTGTTGGTGTAATACATGTACTCAGGTGAATAAGATGCTTGTGTGATGTTACGTACTCTGAGTGGATATCCACACTGGGCAGGCTTGAAAAATATGCCTGGCCACAGTGGGATTTGAACCTACAACCTTTGGAATACTGGCCCAATGCTCTGCCAACTGAGCTATACAGTCGGGGCAGTTCGAGTATGCGATATTTCGGAACTGAGTCTAGTTCCTTCGATATCAGTGTAATCTAATAACCATGATATTTGTGAATATGATGCTTGTGTGATGTTACTCTGAGTGCATATCCACACCGGGCAAGCTTGAAAAATATGCCAAGCCACATTGGGATTCAAACCGACCTGACCGCGTAGCTCAGTTGACAGAGCATTGGCATTTGGGCTAGTATTCCAAAGGTCGTAGGTTCAAATCCCACTGTGGCCAGGCATATTTTTCAAGCCTGCCCGGTGTGGATATACACTCAGAGTAACATCACACAAGCATCTCATTTCATCAAGTTCCTCCAGATATTCATACACTTCCTGTGAAAGAGCCAATTCCAAGTATTTAATCA